AAACTTCACAAGCTGGCCGACAATTCCTTTTAGACAGATGTGTGTGTTAGTTTAGGGGAGGAGCTGGTGAGAGTGTGTGTGTTTGTCCTGCGTACCTGCATGAAGCTGCACATCACATACTCATCAAACATTGGCAGACTGGGCCTGCTTTCGCGGTATATGTGCAGAGTGTATATCGTCATGACGATGGGTTCAGCCTCTGATTCGTCCATCACCAGAATGTTGATTCTGCTGTTTCCCAGGCCAGCCGGGTAGTTTGCCATCCTGAAGGAAACAGAGAAGAGTTCTGAGAAACTCATTGTACTTTATCACATATGCACACACACTCTCTCTTTCACAAACACACACACACATACCCTTTGCTTTTGGGGTTACTGATGTCGTGACAGGAGAGGGGGATTACTGTGGATTAAAACTGCGTCCCAATCAACAGGTGACCCCCTCACTCGTGGAAAAATAAGGCTGTGCTTTCACAAAACCTTGAGAAAGGAGACAGCCCAGACTGCTCACAGACGGATCAGTCAACCCTTTGCTTTCTATGTGTAGAAATATTAACTTAACTATTTAGTCTTTCTCTGAAACGCTTTATTGTAAAACAATAAAAAAAATAAAAATGAACACTTGCAGTTGTTATATAAAGTTGTTATTTATGTGATCTAAACCATTACTTTTACGGTATAATCTAATGAAGTCAGATTGAGTCAGTCATTTTAAATAATTTAATATTTTATAATATTTCATAGATTTGTACAGTACAAAATTATAATTTTATGAAATAATCATAATTCAAATATTTTGTTTTGAATAAAATCATTTATTTGAGACATTTTACAAGTTGCCTGACAAAACATTAGACAAAAAAAATTATTGAATTACTGTACAATTTAAGTATTTTAAACAATATGATCTATCTACCCCTTCATCCATGCATCCATCTATCTATCTAATATGACTAACACATACATTATTAATTTTACCTAAAATCTTGTTGAAAATAGTATTCTCTCTCTCTTTGTAAATAAATAATTGTACGAAATAATTATTACAATTAATATATTTTTTCTTGAATAAAACCATTTATTTTAGATGTCAAAACAATTCATAAGTTCATTGAAAAAAAAACCTGCATGCAGAATAATAAATTTTTTATAATTTTGTAATTGAATAATATTTATCTATCTATCTACCATTATTAACATTTACATTATTAATTTTACCTAATTTTACTTAGTATATTCTCTCACTAATAATTTAGTGTAATTTTAATCATTTAATTTAATCTCTCACTAACAATAATTTATTTTTCATGGCCATGTTATTTGTTGGCTACTCTTTTTTTTATCATAAAATGTCTTTATTAAACACCAAATAAATGCCCAATACGTCAGCCTCCTGTTATAATCTTGGGTCAGGGTCAGCTTTAAATATGTAAAAGCTTTGTTTCCCTTCTGTGAGTATTAAAGATTACAGGCTGTAAGAGAGTCTAATAGGCAGTAATCAGGGATTTTAAATGTATGCGTATGACTCGCCAGGCATGGGAAAGTAAATTCATAAATTAATCTGATAAATCAATCAAATGGTGAAGTGATCTTGATCTGACACATAAGTCGTCAGATCTGATTACCAAGAAAAAGGCAGCGACGGCACTACCGTACCGCAGAGCCTTTGTTCATTGTTTCCCAGCTCAAGCTGCTGTGTTTTACAACACTGTTGCATAGCCCACACAGTAGTTTTCATGTTTTTGACCACAAAACTTAATCTGTAATGCTAAATTTTAATGCCACAGTATTTAATTCTACAATGTGGCAGTTGAGTTTGTGGTTTTTGTTTGTTTGTTTGTTTATTTGACAAAAAAAAGTAGTGAATACACTCTATTTGACAAGGATAACACAAAGTTTAAAACAAAACTTATTTCCATTGTGGTCCTTGATGTAAAGCACAAACTTCACTCCTGGTAACAGGAACACTGGCACTGCATTATAAATACAAAAATTACAATAAAATTCCACATCTACAAAAATTTACAGTCACAAATAACCACGTACGTAATACAAATTCATCAACAAAACAACCTACTTAAGAACAAACGTTTAGTTTTTAAAACTAATCATATTCGAAATACCTTTAATGTCCAGAGGTAACTTATTCTACAAAAGTGCCCCAGAATATCTAAAAGACCTACGACCATACATAGTTTTAAAACGACATAATGTAATATCCATGAGACTTTGCCTAGTTTTATAACAATGTTGCTCATTTACCCTAGGAAAAAATACATTAAAATATGAAGGAGCTCTGTTATTGATAATCTTATGTACCATTTTTAATTTAATATGTTCTAATCTGCTTACTAGGTAACCAATCAAGACGCTTAAAGTGGGAAACCTCCACATGTGTAAAACGACTAAACCCTGAAACTAACCTTATCAATTTATTCTGAGATTTTTGTAATTTATCCAACCAACCACAAGACAAATCGGACATCCAAGAAATACAAGCATATTCAAAATTACATTACACTAAACATGATGCAAGTAATTTTATATTCTGTTTATCAAGGAAACTAACATGTCTGGCAAGAAATTTTGTCCTAGCATTAACCTTACCCAGAACCTTCATAGCCATACTTACACCACTTAAATCGTTGTCAAGGACACATCCAAGATAATTAACAGAAGTTCTATTTGATATTAAACAATCCCCGACCTTAACAGACATCTTAGAAACCTTATTCAAATTATTTTTAGACCCAAATAATATGGATTCCGTTTTACCTAAATGCAACATCAGTTTGTTTTCAGAGAGCCAGTCTCTTACCTTACAAAGCTCCTTACCTAAATGC